GTAGAACAAAGTAATTACAGATTACACTAGGGATTTGGACCCTGATGGCATCAGAGGGAGTGAGAGAGACTGTGTGTGTGTGTCTCTCTCTCTTGTCCCATGCTGAGAGGACCGTGTGTGCTGGAATTGGGACGTTATCCCAGGACAAACAAAAAAAAAAAGAGGAAGGCCTGATTACTCGGGATTAGCCTCTAAAACACAAATCCCTCCTGTTCACCCTCCTTTTTACCACACAGCTTTAAGACCACTGTGCACCGAATAGAAGGGACAGAGAAACTGATAGAGAATGACAGAAGAAACAAACAAGACCAGCCAGCTTTGGGAAAGCATCTATAAGCGTCTTGTTTTCTTAATCCACATTACACTTCCTTACTAGAGCCTGACCGATACATCGCTTGGCCGATAAAATCAGCCAATATTCAGGTTAGGATTTATGGTATTGGGTGTAAATCCTATGGATAAAGCACTCTTTAAATGTTATATGAGAAAACCACATTGAAGAATGTGATACTGTTTTGACAGTTGTATGCAAAAGTTTTGGCGACCCTGGTCCTTAAATTTTAAGTTGAAAAATTACTTGTGCACATTTTAATGCGCAGTGTTTATTTGCTGAATTTAACAAAACAAAACAAAAAAAATATAAGACATAAAATGTGGCCAGTGCAAAAATTATGACACGTTTTACATTTCATGTTTTGTTTGTTTATTTATTTATTTATTTATTTATTTTCCCCATTTTAGTCGTCTCCAATTCCACCCACTAGTTAGGACTCCCCCAGTCACACAATACCTCCAGTGCTAGGAGGGCGAGGCTAGCACAGGCTTCCTCCGAGACCTGTGAAGCCAACCACCGCTTCTTTTCGAACTGCCGCTCACGCAACGTCACTGGACAGCCGAACGCGCTCAGAGGAAAGCGCCAACCGCCAGATCTGTTACGTCAGCTAACAGACGCCTGCGCTGACTAGCATCGCGCTGAGTGATGGGGGGAGATGGGGGGCCATCCTACCCACCCAGAGAGAGCGAGGCCAACTGTGCTCTCTTGGACTCCCGGCCACGGATGGCTGTAGCATCACCAGGGATGGATCTCCTGATGATGAGGCCAACGCTTAGCGAGGGAAACTACTGGGGAGCCCCTCTTTATTTCTTTCTGATATGCAAAACACGCAAATAAATAGAAATTGTATATTCAGATTTGCAGAAAAAGGCCATAGTTAAGTGTGTTCTCTGTAGAGGATGTGTAGAGGACCTATTTTCACATAGAAAATCAATAAAACATGTAATTTGACTGGGTTTTGCATACAACCGTACATTTATGCTATGAAGCACTTTGTGAGTTTAATACTTCGTGTTTGTTTTAGACATTTGACAATAATTTACAGTCATAAGTGTCAACTAACGATAATATCTTGAATGGCAAACAATTCTTTATTAGGTTGAATCCAAGTTCTCTATAGCTTGTCGGTACCTCGCAACAGTTGCTATTAGGAAGGCACAATGATATCAGAATCATATCGTAATTGAGAAAAAAAAATGATTGCCATTAGACAGATGTTCAGATTTGACTGATATTTCAGAACAGTAATTGAAGACATAGTTATTATTCATTATATTGTGGAAGTGGTGAGCGTTCAGACGATTCCAGGTGCTTAAATATCTGTTGAATTTACTGTGTTTGTAACCCTGCAGCGAATGTTATATTTCTCTGTAATGCTAATCAGGTAGATGTAGTCCAAAATCCTTCATTTTCTACATCAGTATTGCCAGATGTGTATATTAAAAATATCAGATATCAGCATCAGCCCACAATTCCCACATCTGTGCGTCCCTAGATGTTATGAAAGAATGCGTTGTCTGGCAGAACATGGATAGGTCAGTTAATTGATCTCCGATATCTTGGTATAGTGAGCAGAAGTCCATTAATAAGAGAAAAGGCTGAAAAAGCCTCCCTCACCGCATTACAGCGCTAATGACCACGTTCAGTCAGCTCCACTACTGTTTCTTCAGTTCTGCTGGGCTGTGAACAAACCGAGCAGGTGTGATCTCTCCATCACATCATATGGAGTGAATCCACACACTCACTCACTGGCCACTTTATTAGAAACCCCTACCTTGTATCTGTTGTAAAGGGGGCGTAAAGTTACGTTTAAGTTCAGTGGAGCTCATAAAGGAACCAGGAGGTCAGATGTACAAGGTCTGTGTTTCTAATAAAGTGGGCAGTGACAGGTTACAGTCCGAATGCTGCCTCTATGATAGTTGTTCTGTATTCTTTTACTGTACGTTTGCTGTAATGCTCATGCTGTTGCCAGAACACTGTGATGAATAACGCCTAAGCAGATTCATTCATTAGGCTCTGATGCTCAGCTTTGACATTGCCAAACCCTCTTCCTGGATGGTGGCCAGTCAGCATCACAAATCTAGTCAGTTCATCCAAACAGATGCTTTGAATATGTTCTATAAAAGGGCTTAGTGACACTAGTTACATTTGTCAGCATTGCCATGTTTATGCTGTGTATTTAGTCAGGGTGTTAAATGCATTGATGCATCAGTATGAAGTAGAGGTCTCAAGCTCATATTACCTGGGGGCCACTGGCCAAGTGGTCTTCTTCAAAAGGGCCGGTTGAAAAATTGCAGGGAAAAAAGTGTTGTGTTTTTTTTTCAAGTATGAATTTTAACCAAATGTTGTTTTTGGTTTTCTTTTACCTAAAAGAAACTAATATTTGGGAAAAAGCCTATATTTTTCCCCAATCGTCTGTCATCTGTCACCACAAACCACCACTACTAATGTACTTGCTTTTAAAAATCATAATCATGGAAAAAAAAAAATCATAAAACCTAAGCTGATTTTATATAACATGTGTTGGGTAACCAGCCACAGTGTCTGGTGTGTAAAGCTAATCTTCCTGCTGCAAAAAAATAAATAAATAAAAAATGTGCAACACAAATATGAATGGGAATTCCACCAGTTTGTCAGAATATGTACATAATTAAACAATCATTCATTGGTTGATGTGAAATTGTTCGTTATAGAGAAATTTCTTTACAGCAGTGGAGGTTGGAACCAAACATCTGAAGGGTTTAATGCCTCTACAAGCTTTTTCACTGAGACATTGTTTAAGATAATTTTGGGATAAAAATTTTGGCCTAAATTGTATTTTTATCTATTTATTTTATGCAATTCATAGCAAAGAGACACATAGGGTGGTGCTGTGTGTTTCAGATTTACCACTGTTTTACCATCATCACCATTACGTATAAAGACTCATCTACATGTAGGTTTAGTGGTGGTTCGTAAATTAAATGGCTATATTTGTGTTGTAGTCGTCACGACGTCCGGTTCCTGTCATCACCACTGTAAAGAAATTTGAATAGGTTACAATGAACCATTTCCTGTCAAACCACTTTAAATGACTTTGTTTGCATCTCAACCACTAAACTATGCAGAAATTTTGAAAATGTGGTGGAATTTCCTTTAAAGAATAAATCGAATGGATCTGTTTTACAGGCCAGGTTTGACCTGCAGGTCCATAGTTTGAGACCCCTGGTCTGAAGTAATTAAGCTACATAGATTTTGCAGTGTTTGAAGTGACTATTAAATTGATTATACTAATATTACTATATACTGTTCTCAAATGTGAAAACAAAAAAGATTGAGAGGTTGTTTTTATTCTCTCTGTTTTGTTGCTGTGCATGTTTAACTAGGGTATATATTTAGACTACGTCCAACACCTCTTACTGCTGACTCAGTTGCAGAAGTTCAGTTGCACCTGCGTAATCTCCATAGAGCAGCATTGCTAATAGAATGGGATTGTCTGAAACAGCCGCACAGGAGCCTAAAGTCACCACGCCTGATGATAAGCATTGGCTAGAGGGGTTTGTTTTTGTTGTTTTTGGTTTTCTTTTATCTAAAGGAAACTAATATTTGGGAAAAAGCCTATATTTTTCCCCAATTGTCTGTCATCTGTCACCACAAACCACCACTACTAATGTACTTGCTTTTAAAAATCATAATCATCGTAAAAAAAAAAAAATCATAAAACCTAAGCTGATTTTATATAACGTGTTGGGTAACCAGCCACAGTGTCTGGTGTGTAAAGCTAATCTTCCTGCTGCAAAAAAAGAAATAAATAAAAATGTGCAACACAAATATGAATGGGAATTCCACCAGTTTGATAAGCATTGGCTAGAGGGGTATAAAGCCCCCAAAACCATTACAAGAGAAGGTGTCTATAAACTTTAGGACTTGTGGTGTACATGTTCCTCCAGTCACGTTGGCGTAGTCTATGAATTTTTTTTGAAAATAATTCTGAATCTACCAGAAGAATCATATCAAACTGTGGCGAGTGGTTTTTCATGATGGACTGACTCATTTCCATAAAGAATCGGAATTAAATTGATGTTAACATTTGAAGTTTACTGCAGTTGCATGGAGCATAGCTCTGGTCCTCTTTCGGCTTTCCGTATTCTCACGGCTGTTTGAGTGTGTGAGGCACGTCCGCAGCGGAGTGTGACTCAAGCTCAACGATTGATATCGACCGGTCTGAAGGGGAGGCACATGGACTGGCCTGTTAAGGAGGGCAGTGGGTGGAGAAGCAGCAGGAATGGGAGGCGCAAGAGATGGATGGATGCAGGGCTTGCTCTCTCTCTCTCTCTCCATCTGCCTCTTCGGGATGAAAACAGCCTTTCTAAATGTAAACGAGTGCAGCCTCGGTCCTTTAAAGGGCAGAGCGAGAGAGAGAAGCTCAAAATATCTTGTGTTCTTTCCACCGCTCATTCTAATCACAGGGTCTTTGTGAAGGCCCCGCTCAGAAGCTCTGTTTGAATAATTTAGCTTTATTTATTGGTGCATAATGTTAAGGACCTGGGCTTAAATAATTGAGCAGTGTTACCATGAATTATGAAACCTGATATAAAAAATCCCTTGAAGCTTCAGTGTTTCTGTGCAGGTGTACTGGAATCCTATTAAAATTAAAACTTCTTTCTCTTCTGCTCTCCGTGTGTAGGTAATGTGGTTGATATATACCAGAGGGAGTTCTTGGCTCTGAGAGATCGGCTCCACTCGGCTGAGCAGGAGAACCTGAAGCGCTCGAAGGAGCTCAACCTGGTGCTGGACGAGATCAAGCGAGCCATCGCCGAGAAACAAGCGCTACGGGACATCAACCGCACCTGGAGCAGCCTGTCTGGTGAGAGAGAGCGAGAAACGCAGCGTTCAGTTCAGTTATAATGGAGAGGTTGTCAAACGAAACTGTACATGAATCATTCACATAAATCTGCCTTATGGGTCCACTGTATAGGTGTGCAGTTACAGCGGGCCAGGGGTCGGTAACATGCCTCTCTTTTACTGCCCTGTTGTGGCTTCACAGCAGAATTAGATTTGTAGGTAAAAATAAAATAATCCTCCTTTACAGTAAAATAAAGCTCTGCTGATCGTTCAACACAGTTTAACAATAAATGGTCTTCACCCTTTAACCCTGAAGATCAGCGCAGACTGCTGGTCACCATAGGTTCCAGACAGCAGTCTCGCCTAGCTAGTAGCTAACGAAAAAGCAAAGAGAGAGATTTAAGACGTAGTTTGTAATGATGTTTACCATTATGTGTCCTAGTCACTGCACCTCCCAGTGTTTAGTCTTACCTGAGACTGTGAGCGTGACACAATTGGTTACTGCCCCTTCTGATTGGTCACAGCTCAGTTAATTTGCAGAATGTTTGTCCAGAATGAGGGAGCAGAGAGCTGATGTGCATCAGTGGTCAGTTATATGTGTATATGTAGCCATCTCTCGCCTAATTATAGCACATTATACCACATAAAATAAAAAATCTAATGAAAAAAAGGCAAATATTTTGCATGGCATCATCGTTCTTGTCACATATATGCTGCTTAAAATTTCAACTCCCCTACCTTAAGACAAACTTCCCACATCCCTGTCCCTTGTTGAAGATAGTTTTGTATCGATTCATTTGTTTTATCAGTGCTTTATCTATACTTTCTCCCAGTGCAACAGCATCGCTTATGGCAGAGAAACACTGGGGCGTCCTGGACCTCCCATTAGAGTAAAATGACAACCAAATTTAATTTTGTCTCTCTACTGGGGTGTCCCTTTACTCTTATGGGAGGTCCAGGTCCAAACCCTTTTGATTTGAATTGAGGAGGGGCTGTTTCTGCGTACAGGTGTGCAAAATTGTAGCTACCCGCTTCATCTGTTTGCTGCTTTTTATTATTTTCTCTGTGATAAAAACACTCAAGCGGAACAGTTGAGCGGTTTTATGAGTTTGCGGGTGAATGCTGCCTTCACTGCACACGTCTATGAGACGTTCCATCTCCTCTGCTGTCGACAGCAATCCGTTTCCCATGAAAAGGGAAGTGATGCGATAAGGCAAAGCAGTCACGTTACAAAATGAACCAATCACATAGCTTTACTTAACAAAAGTTTAACATGAACACCCTGGGCTTGTGAACTGTCTGCAGATGATTCAGACCAATCAGAGGCCAAAACACACATGTGCTTTGTACATTACAACAACACAACCACAACTAAAGCCGGGGTCACACTACACGACTTTTACCCCGGTTTTAGCCCCGATTCTCAGTCTGGCTGAGTCTGTGCTGGTCGGCTCTAGTCTGCAGATTTTTGGGTCGGTCGGAGTCGTCAGTTGGAGAGAGAGTCGAGTCGTGTGTGAGGGGCGCCTCCCGATCACGTTTCAGAGCATAGTAATCTAGTGAAAACTGATCGGCGACTTAATCTGAACAGACTCCTGTAACAGCCAATGAAAACTGAGAGCATGAAAGAAGAAAATACAGCAAGTAAACAAAGAGAAATGGCGAAAAGTCTCACATGAGGAGCGAAGCTTTTTATTGAGCTGAGTTTAAGGCTCAATCAAGGTTATGTACAATTAAAATTCCACACTGATCACATTTTTAAATCCATGATCCACTTAAACATGTTTACCTGCTGCTTCTTTACTGTCTCAGTGCAAACAGAGAAAACAGCAGCAGCTCCACGTCTGTTTATTTGCGTTCTACTAACGGGAGAACGTGAGAGTTCTTGCGAGTTCTTGTGAGTTCAGTAAGGTCAGTTCGGTTCAGCAGCAGCTGAAAAATTGAGTAGTGTGTGATCCTCAATATTTCAGTCGCCCAAAAAAATCTGCAAAAACCAGTCTGATAGTGTGAGACTCCCAGTCTTTTATAATCTCTTCAGACTTTAAAAGTCGTGTAGTGAACCTAAGGCTTAATTGTCAAGGGACTGGGTTGAGTGTGTAAGCCTCAAGCCAGAAAAAGGGTTGCTTACTGGGACAGCACGGAGGTACAGTGGGTAGCCCTGTTGCCTCACAGCAAGAATGGCTTGGGTTCGATTCCCGGCCGGGAGACTGGGGTCCTTTCTGTGTGGAGTTTGTATGTTCTCCCTGTGTCTGCGTGCGTTTCCTCCCACAGTCCAAAGGCCGATTGGACAGGCTGAATTGCCCCTAGGTGTGTCTGTCTGTCTGTCTGCCCTGTGGTGGACTAGTGACCTGTCCAGGGTGTATCCTGCCTTCTGCCCAATGACAGTTGGGATAGGCTCCAGCACCCCACTGTGACCCCAAAGGATAGGTGGTTTAGATTGTGTGTGTGTGTGTGTGTGTGGTGTCTTATTGGGCAAAAGAAATTTATAGATAATAGAGATTTTTTACAATATTGCTCATAAAAATCACAATTCAATATCTTGTCCAAATCATTCAGCCCTAGGCTGGAGAGTGATTAACTCAAGCTGCGGATCAGCAGATGAACTGCAGTCTCTGACTTTACACCTGCAACGTGGAGCTACAAGGCAGGAGTTTGTATTAAAGTGTCCATGAGATTCACAGTCAGTCAAGATAGTATGGATTCTTTTTGTTGAACTCAGATAGACCAAAAAAACAAAAAAAGTGAAGCATTTCAGATACGGTTCCGTATTTATGGTCACATTATTGTGTGACGTATTTCACTGTGACTGAATCAGTAGATGTGAATTAGAGTGCAATGTGATTTGAGCTCATGCTGAACGTTGTTCTCTGTTCCTCTCAGACGAGACGAAGCTCAAACTGTGGAACGTCACCAGCAGTAAGAATGTGTTGCAGCTGCCCAGCATCTTCCACCACCTGCCCCATCTCCTGGCCAAGGAGACCAGCCTGCAGCCCGCCGTGCACATCGGCCAGGGCCGCACAGGAGGTACGTGTGTCTTTTCACCTCGGTCTTAACTTCTGTCATCCCCGTCTCAGAGTCTTGATCCTCTCATATCATCACTCTCCCCTGAAGATTTATTACCTTCTCTCTCTCTCTCTCTCTCTCTCTCTCTCTCTCTCTCTCTCTCTCTTTTTTTCTCTCTCTCTCTCTCTCTCTCTCTCTCTCTCATATTTTCTTTCTCCTTTTTTGCCTCCTGTCTGTTTGGTGCACTCAACATTTTTCTTTCTCTTTCAGTCTCTGTCTTTGAAAATATACAGTATTGTGCAAAAAATTTAGGCACCTGAGAACATTTGTTTTAAAACACTATTTGTCTGGACTGTAAACATTTTTTCATTTTTTAGTATTGATTTTCTATACGTCAGTATTTTTATTTAACCATTTCCCACTCACTTCTCATGGCAGCCCAGTATTAATTGTAGTTATCATCCAGTACCTAGTTTATCTAATCAATCCCTTATTATACTAAATCAACTGTATTGCTGATGGAATTTCACAAATCTGTGTAGTGGCTGGAAGCGTCGGGGTGAAGACGTGTTCTTCTAACTAGCTCACATGATATCAAGTACTTTTTTGAACACTCTTGTTTTTCACTGCATTGGTGTTTATTTTTATTCTAATGTTTTAAAGACATTAACTGGCAAAAACACACTGTCAGGATAAATATTTTAAACAGTTTGGCTGTTGGCCTCAACGATTTGAGGAAAATATCTAATTGCGATTTTTTTATAAATTAAGATTCAGGACTGATTTATTTTGGCAAAAAAGACCAGAATATCCACCTTTTTTGGCTCGAGGCTCGACCCCTAAAGTATGTTGTGGTTGTGATGTCGCAACATGTGGAGGTTTGGTTGCCTCTGATTGGCCTAACTCACCTACAGGCATTTCACAAACTCTTATTAGGTTCAATTTCCCCTCTTAAAACAACATTTCTGCTGATGTGCACACTTACAAAAGATGGTTCTTCAAGGGTTCTTTATTAAAGATAATATATAGATTCTATATAGAACCGTAAACACTCAATGACTCACTTGCATGCTTAAAAAGTTCTTTGCATGATGAAACAGATTTTTAAATGTGTGAACTTTGTGTTGTATATGGTTCTGTATAGCACATTTGTGGAAAAGGTTCTATATAGCTCCAAAATGTTCTTCCATTGTTACAAGCTTGACATTGTAACAATAGTAGAACCCTTTTGGTGCTGTATAGAACCATATACAACACATTTTCCTTCAATCTGAAGAACGATTTCACCATGCGAAGAACCATTTAAGCATGCAAATGGGTCTGAGTGTTGATGGTTCTGTATAAAATGATTGTCTTTACTGAAGAACCATCTTTTTTAAGAACCTTGAAGAACCATCTTTTTTGAGAGTGTTGGCTATAATTAAAAAAAAATTGCAGCTCTTGTGATTTGAAAGTTGCACCGTCTTAAATTGCGATTTCCATAAAAAACGTATTCATCTTCCAGCCCTATTTGGCTGCATGTATATTAGAGCACTGGGAGGTAGTTATATGGTGGCAGCCTCAACACGGACCCACGAGGGGGCTGATTAGAGAGCCGGCTTGGCAGTGTATGAAGCTCAGCTGGGGCTGTGCTGCTGCACCTTACATGCATCTATAGATATACACAGTTTTATGTGACTGGAACGTACACAGTTACGGTCGTACACTCCCACTCTCAACAACGTATATCATGGGAAAAAAAATCACGAAGGAAACAAAACCCTTCGGTTGTTTCTAGGACAATCCCTTACACTGACCACTTTAATGAATAACACACTTCCATTTTAACACATCTGATTTAAGATTTCAAGCCCTCAGGAATATCTGACTGTTCCAATCAGGTGGATTTGATTAGAGCTGCAGGAAAACTCCAGGAATGACCAGGAATAAAACTAATGAAGAATCAGTTAGTTGGAAACTATTACTTACTGCTGCAGATATTTAACCCTATGGATGTAAGAAAATAAAAAGTGTGTGCATTTGTATATTTCTATGCATGTATGGTTGTATGGTTGTATATCGCTGTTGTTGGAAGAAAAGCTTTTTATCTCCATAATGGTAACTTTACAGGAGAAGGAAAAACATACTTCACTTTTAATGTAAGTCAGTGGAACCAGACTTTTTTCCAAGTCATTTTGTGACGTTTCTTTTGGTCCATTCATTATGAAATTTACACACAATGTAAAGAGCAACAGGTATTTTCAAATTATGTCAAAAACTGAAAAATGACAAAAATGGAGATATGAGGTTTTCTTCTGACAGCAGCAATCTATATAAAACATATTATATATTATATATTATATATTATTGTCTAAGTGTGTATTTGATGTTTGGTCATTCAACATTTGGTCTTGGTAAAGGCTGTGGAAACAGAAATTGTCTAATATTTTATGAATGAAAAGAAACTTCTTTTCAACTTTTGTGTGAAAATTATTTATTGCTGCCTAAAATATTTTGAAAACCTACATTGGAAACATTTTTTTCTGAGTAAGATTGAATTTACGCACAAATTTAGCGTTGTGACGGATTTCCTTCACATGCCTTGTTTTCAAAAAGAGCGCTGCCACTTTTCAGCGCTTACAGATAGAGACATCCAAGAAAACTACAGCTTTTCTGAGTGGAAAGTGCTCAAACAGCTCTACATGGCAGAGAAATGTGGTCTCTTACATAATGGTTTTGATGAAAATAAAATTTAAAAACAATAAAATTAAAAAAATTCCTCATTACAACAGTTTTGCTGGAAGTGATGTCAGTACATAAAGCATTTTCAGGTGAATGTCGATGTAAATGAGCTTTTGAGATGCAAAGATTACACAATTTTTAGAGCATTGTAAGCCAAAACACACTGGCCTGGTTTTCTCACTCTGAATATGATTGGCTCGTGAGTGGCTGCAGTGCTTCATTCGTTTTTCTATCTGTCTTTCAGTGTCAATAGTGATGGGCGTGCCCAGTGTGAAGCGGGAGGTGCATTCATATTTAACAGATACGCTCAGCTCTCTGATGTCGGAGCTGAGTCAGGCAGAGAAAGAGGATTGCGTCATTGTGGTCTTCATCGCTGAGGTAAGCCTACAACTCCCATGATACACAGCTCAAACACGCTCGATCAGCCAAGACATGTTTGGTGTCCAAAGTTTGCTTGTTCAGTTTAGTGCTGGAGCTACGAGGCTAATGCAGCTGAACAAGTGTGCTGCACCAATTAAGACAGTACAAACAAACAACAATAGAAGCAAAAACTCCAGACATCAGACATGTCTTCGTTGATCATCTACAGTTGTATGCAGAAGTTTGGGCACCCCTGGTCAAATAACATGCTGTGTTGAAAATAACACGTCCTGTACAGAGAGCACACCTCTGCACGTTTTATTTATTTTACTGAATTTAACATTTTGGAAAAAAATAAAACATAAAATGTGGCTTGTGCAAAAGTTATGGCACATTTTATGTTTTATGTTTTATTTTTTCTAATGTGTTACACTTACGATTTGCAGAAAATGCCCTATTTAAGTTCCCTGTGGAGAATGTGTTTTTATTTTCACTTAGAAAATCAACAAAACATGTCATTTGACCAGGGATGTTCAAACTTTTGCATATGACTGTATATCAGGGGTAAGGGAGAAATTGTGTTAATATATTAATTAATAGATAACCATTAATAATGTTGACACAATAAATTATTAATGCTGTTAATGAGTTTTCCTAGTTTGACCCTTTGAAGCCCAGCTGATCATGCGTTTTATGTTTTGCTTTGTTGTTTTTCTTGTGTTGTGCTTATGGCTCTTATAAGGGCAAGTTATAATTATGGCTCTCCTGGTAAGACCAAAGTTATTTACAGCTTCTGCCATGCTGTGAATTTATTAAACAATGAAGGAATCAAGTTCGAAGTGTCATTTGCAGCCAAACACGGTTCTGATTCCAGCTTCTTGTTCGAATTTTCTCATTCCACCTTAAATGGTGCAGCAAACACTTTCTGGTGCCTGAAGCTGCACCATTTAAGGTGGAACGGGATAATTCGAACTAGAAGCTGGCAAATAAGAAGTTGACTTCAGCTTCGTGTAAGAAGGTGCTAATGTTAATCTATTATGAATATCTACACGGATTAAGGAATGATATAACTTACTGAGCTACAAAGCTTTAACCATCACTGTAAATAAATAACTACTACATAAAGTTAAGACCCCCTGAATAGACTATTAAATGAAATAAGCTTAATATAAAACCAGAGGAAAAACAATCACATCAACAGGTTCTCTGTGCCTCATTAACCACACGGCCATATCTACATAAACACCACACAAACAATACACATCTCACAGACATGAGTGTGGATCACTGCGTTCCCTCCGTTATATAATCCTATCCCACTTTCTGAGTGTGATATTCCTGAAATAGTGTAATTTTGACAGTATCTTTCTTAAACTGCCGCTCTGTAATGGTGCTGAATGCAGTCCAGCAGCGATGTTGACGTGCCTGGCTGGACCCAACACAGCGTCTAGGTATGCATATCTATGATTTAGGGTGGTATATTTGACCGTTCATTTCTTTAAACATCTCTGCTGATTATCTTGTGTGTGTCCATATGTACCACATATTCCCAGAAATTCAGTGTTTGTTCATATCCACAGCTGCACACTTGTGTGTGTGTTGGTGTATATCAGTAGGTCAGTGAGTTCTCTCCTTCAGGAGTGAATATTTGCATTAGTGAGTGCATGCATGTGTTCGTGTGTGGCGTTAGCGGGTCAGTGTGCTCTCCTCTGCTTGTGGAGAAGGTCAGTGCACTCACACTCTAACAGGAAACCTTGTTATCACCCACAGCATTCCCGTCGGCTCCCGCTAACCCACACCATAATATTGCGCTAATGGCCAGCCCACTAACGCCAGCCGCTAACTGCCCTGACCCTTGATGATAAATCCCCCACTGTTGAGCCGTGCTGCAAAAATCAACCATTAAGAAGATGCGCTCAGGCCAATTAGAACACGAAGCAGGCTGGGCAGATGCACACAGCATGGCAGAGCATACATGCTAATGGTGGGAGCTGACGAAAATATAACATTAAAGAGATTTTCACATCATATACCTCTCTGTGTTTAATTATTCTGGGCTTTATCACAGAAAACAAATGAAAACCGTGTGAGTCTAATGATTTACTGGTTGTTGTTGTTTTTAGAGGATTTTTCAATTGTAACAAATTATTACTCTCACTATTTTTACACCGTTAAACCTTTTTCCTAGTTCCCCAGACCCTCCCTAGACCAGGGGTTCTTAATCTTTGTTAGAAAGTGTGTAGAAATTTAATGCTACTGGAAATTAATTCATTTTTCACATTTTTGCATTCTTTCCCATTTAAGTGACACTTGTCATATTTTTCTTTGTGTTTTATAAGATGTATATCTTTATAGCACCACTCTTGTGACCCCTCTGGAACCATGTCAGGACCACCAGCTGGGGCCCTGACCCCTGTATTAAGAACCCCTTCCCTAGGCCCCTCAGACCATGAGTAGTAGTGCAAGCTGAAGCCCAGCGGCTTGTGTTGCTATGATAGAATCAATGCCTGTAGACTTCTAATTCAAATACTGCTTTTTAATGGCTTCAGAGCCTTTGGCAGACGACGCAGGACAGTGATCACAGGAGACCTATAGATGAATTAATAAGCAGCAAACTAAAAGCAACAGCAAAGTGGAGCTCCAGTTCCCTTCAGTAGCCTCCATTATAACAGTAGTTCACTGTTTGAATATGAGGGCTTTAACCATTGACTAGAAAAGAAGACTCAGTCTCTGCACAGAGCAAACTTTAATATCGCTGCTGTCGGAAGGAAACCTCGTATGTCCAAAATGGTAACTTTACAGGAGAAGGAAAAAACCTACTTTACTTTTAATGTAAGTCAATGGAACCAGACTTTTTTCCAAGTCATTCTGGGTCGTTTCTTTTGGTCCATTCTTCATGAAAGTAACAGGTATTTTCAAATAATGTCAAAAACTGAAAAATGACAGAAATGGAGATACAAGTTTTTTTTTCCAACAGCAGCGATATATTACATTTTTGCAAATTTTAATTTTAATTTAAAATTTTAGTAATATTTATTTGCTGAATTTAACATACTACTAAATACAACATAGAATGTTTCAGGTACATAAGTTTGGGCACCCTTACTAAGACCCTTACCAAAATGCGTTATTTTTATGTAAATGTTGTCTTGCGTCCTTCAGATGTTGACTTTTGTGATGGGATCACAGTTAAGGTAACGTTTTGTTTGTCCAACAACACTGCACAGTGGGCCAGTGCATCGTGATTCACCTGCCAGCCAAATCTTCCTGTAGGTCCTTGGCAGTGATGTGGGGGTTTTGCTTTGTATAGCTGACCAGTCTGTGAACAGTTCTCCTTAGTTTCCATTTCTTAATATCTTTTCAGACAGTCAAAATTTCAAGCAGGAAATATTTAGATGTCTTTTTTTCTCTTGCTTTGTAAGAGTGAATTATCCTTAGTTTCAGATCCTCCATAATATCCTCAGTCTGCTACTTAGATGAGCCCATGTCTTTTGAGAGTAAGCACAACATTGTGAAAGGTTTGAAGGCTCACAGGATTCATTACACTGTGGAATTGTTTACACCTGACTTAGATTAAGGCCTGATGAGTCAAATAAGCTCTGAGACGCCACAAAATAAAACAGCAGTGGAGCAAATGAAATGGTGGCCAAACGTTTTCCAGTATATTACATTCAGAAAATAAATGCTAATTGTGTGTTACAAATTGTAGAAATCGATCATACATAAGTTTGTTCCAAGCAGATGTTGCATTAATCTTTTCACTTAATAAATCAAAAAAGCATGTTGCGTACACCTGTATATACACTCATTGGTTGGAAGCTACTGTTGCTCTCCCTGGACAACGGTGAAGTTTTGCGTTTGCAAATTTGCATTCCGGTTGATGCTCAGGTTCATTCCGATGAAGCTTTTTTATCCACTTATGCAGCTGTAACAAAATGCAGTGTTGCTTAAATCAAATACACAACCTCTCTAAAGCCCTATTCAAGCTGGATTAGTTTACCACAGGAAGTCCTGTAATGTAATAAGTGTGTGATTTAACTGGCTGATTCGTACGGGATTAAGGTTCTCTGTAATTTCCCCAAATTACCCCAAATAGCCTGGATCGGAACATCATCATGTGGATGTTTACCTTAGCATTATGCAACAGGCGCCACACTATCGAACAAGAACAATACGTTGTGTGACTAACTGGCATATAAACTAGCATTAGGCTAGTAAAGTTGGATCATTTAACGTACCAAATGCCACCCAACAAGACAGAGAACGCACTGCCTGGCGAGGGGGCTTTTGAGATGTTTAATCTTTCTTCTCCTTGTAATTTGGCCACCAACAAAAATGTTGTTGACTGTGTTCTTGTCATGAACCATTTAAGGTGGAATGGGAAAATGTGAACAAGAAGCAGACAAATAGAAAGCAAACTTCAGCCTCGTCCATTTTCTATTACCTGGTTTCGGTAATACATTATTGAGATGTCAATATGAGCTGGAGTACTATTACTGAGAAGCTCTGAGTAATTATAGAAGGCAATTCAGTCCAGAATTATTATTTAGCAGACGTGTAAAAACTACAGACATGGCAGATTCGTACTGGATTAAATCACGGCCCTTATAACTCAGATTACGGCACGTCTGCGGGTAGTACTAATACTGCTCGAATAGGGCTTTTGGGTCAAATTTGAGCAAATTAGACAGATGCGATTAATCATGATTAACCATACAAAATAATACAATTAATCACAATATATGTTGTTTCAAGGCCCTAAAATGCATGTGTCTGTGTGAATGCATGAAGCCTGCTTCTGTCATGTAGAACAAATTGTAATACAGCAAGCAGATTGCCTCCCAGAAAGGTCAGTGCTGAGTGATCTTAGCGCATGTTTGTGCTGGCTTGTTTATAAGGGAGGACGGAGTGTGTGTCCTCTTCCTGTGGTGATTAAAGATTCTCTTCATACATTAAATCATCACATGCATAATGGGCTTCTTAAGATGCAGCCACCTCCACAGTACACAGTACACAGT